GTGAACCAGGTATGTTCTAGCTTTAGTTAAGCAGCAAACAGCAACTTCTCTTTTAATCTTCCTTTTTTTCCTGTAAAGCACAGCATAATGCATGTGTGGCCAGTAAGATGCTACATTAGCCACGTTAAGGAAAAACAAAGAAAGAAAGCTCGTTTTAGGAAGCAGTTTTGCATCCAGAATTTTCAAAGTAACCAGTCAATGCCTTTCCACAAAGCCTGCCTTTTCATGTTTTCCTTCTGAGAAGTTGGAATATTTTTCTACATCAGTCATACCAGTATCAGAAAGAATATTATATGCAAAGATATAACCTCTGGGTTAACTGCATTTTCTTAAAGCTTCCGTTTCCTCACAACATTTATGGTTAATCCAAACAAAATGCATTTTTACTTCTTTCCCACTTTATAAATAAGAAGTTAAGCCTATGAAAATTCCCATCTTTTGCACTGAAACAGCAATTCTGAGTGTGAAGTGCAGCATATATAAAGTTGGAGTGGAAAAAAGCCTAGCTAAATTAACTAACAGTCTCCTACCTACCTCTGCTCTAATTCAATTGCTTGTGCTTCTGTGATGATACCTTGGAAGTGCAGCTTTCAATGAATATGGAATGGATTCTCAGGAAACATAAATCATTATAGAGGTATCCTCATGAAATACAACTCAAACTGTCAAAACAGTAAGAACAAGTTAGTACAGTCAACCATAGAAACACAGGGGGTTACGATTCATTTACACAAAGTTCTACCTCTTACACTGGCTAAACTCTCTATCCGCAGTTGTCCCATGGCAGCTTGTCACTGAACTCAGAACTCATTCCCAAGCAAACAGTGAATTCCCAAACCAAAGGGTATTTATACTACAAAAATTGGGATCGAAGGACACTTACATGTTTCAGTTAGCTTCCCTCTGCAGACAATCAGGAACTGTCCTGCTTTTTATAGCACTACTAGTTACCAAGATCCTCTAAGTGTATCCCCTTCATTATTTATGCAAAGCTAACTGTATTTAAGCACCCCAACTATATAGAATTATTCTATCTTGAAGATTTTATAGTGTTACTACTATATTAAAAAATACCGTAATAGTTTGCAAACTAAGCTTATTGCAAAGCCACATTCATTCTCTTTCTGAGGGCTTGTATTTATTTCTACTACACGTAACAGGAGAGTTGCAAAATCACACAGTGGCTTCATACACACCAATGGCACACTGCCTTAAGCTTCTGCAGCAAGATTTTCTACTCGTTATAGCACCACTGAAGCAAGAAAGCCTTTCTCCATACATCACATCTCTCACACACCCCTATTTTAATTGATCTGGCTAATCTATTTCGATATGCTTTGTCTTCTGGCTTTTCAATTCCAAACCTTTCAGAGGTCAGCACTGTGGGTTCCAATAGAAATCTCCTGAAACTTTTTAATGAACTTTTTCTTAACATTTTCTTCTCCTGCACAGTAAGGAGAAGAACTGAAGGGTGGAATGGAAGCACACAGGTAATACAGAAGCTGAACAAAACACACAGACAAACAAAAGGTACAGTTTGTACTTCTAAGTTTGCCAAGGCACATGTTAATTAGACCAGACAGATATGCTTTAGATGCGCAAGACTTCAAGGAACTTCTCACAGAGACAGACATGGAGGCAAAGGGACAATGTACGGTTAATACAAAGATGAATAAAGTTGAGACGAAAGCCAGAATTACCTAGATGATTTGCAAAGCCTAAGATTCGTAAGTACAGAGTTTCGATCTCAACAGCAGTCATTTAAGGAGAGTAGCCTACTCTCCCACATTCAATCAGGTATAACCCCAGACCAAAGATCAGTTAAAAGGTGCTGAGAAACAACACTTCTGATCAACACTGTATGTATCCTGATGAAGCTTCCTCCCCTCACAAACTAAAACCCTTCACTGTTTGAAAAAGGTACAGAATTCTCACCAGCATTCCCAATGGGCAGACCTAAAAAAAGGCAAGCTATTTTGAGCAAGTAGGAATGTTTACCAAACATCCTTGAAAATTTTTCAAGTATTACTTTACACAGAACTGTCCTATCAAATTCACTGTTTCATTTCTGGCACCCATCACTGCAGTTACTGCTGCTCACCTAGAAGCTAAACTCTTTCCCTCCACAACCAATGCATATTAAACAAACCATGTGTCACCTCACTGCAGTACAAAAATAGCTGGCATCTTTGAACTACCCCTGCAGAGTACCAAGTGCTTGCTTCTAAACGACATAAAAGACCAGAGTTAATGTGGCATTTACAAAGGAGAATGGCAAGTCACAATTTACGGGCACTGGCTTGACAATCAAAACCATCAACCCATGAACTGTTCCATAGGCACCCACAAAAGCACATTTGTCTGTATCCTGAGGCTACATCTGAACTGCTGTTCTTTGACAGGCTAACCTGGACACCTAAAATTCCAATTTATCAGATGCCTTGTTCCAGATTATTTTGAAGCCAGTTGGTTTTACCCTATAGACTGCATGAATTGACAGTAGTGCATTTTCACTTCACAGTAACAGGAGCAGCCGCTCTTTACCTTTTGCGCCTTCCCTCTCTTCTACACAATTACCTAGTTTTGCGTCCTACGTTACCATGCTTTCTCTGCATTGGTCCTGCACTGTTGCCAACATGTAGTATTTCAGCCATCATTCCAACCACTTTTATGTATTTACACAACAACTGCCTATAGAGATTCAAATCCAAAGTTCTCCAATTTATGCCTACACTTATGTGGAAGGCAGGGGGGCAAAATAGCGTCAATTCAGTGACACCAAAAACTGAACAGCATAAAGCAAATTATTCCTATGAGTGGCAGGTTTTTGGTTTTCAGGCTTGAAGTCATTAGTAGAGTCTATTTTAGAGAAATAACCTTTATACCTTAACACCCTTTACTGACCATGGATTATTTATCTTATTCCATTGTTGCTTATTTGTTTAACTCTAATGGAGACTGTTGTCTTAGCCTACTTCTATTGCATTAAACACAAACCAGGGAAAGAAGCTGCATTTTGATTTCTGACAACTATAAACACAGCAAGAAATCTTCAGCCGAATTCTAACTTCAAGTATGCTTTAAATTTTATTAGGGACTTGCAGACCGAAGATTTCCTCTGAATCACTAGCCGTATCTGATGGATCTATGGTATCTGCTTCAGATGGCTATGCTGTAAAACACTATCTTTTTGTAATAGTGAAGGATTTGAAATAAAATAAAACAATTAAGCAGAGGTTGCAGAAAAGAATAAAATATAAATATCTTACAAAAAAAAAGCTTTATTTTATAAAAACTTACTCAGAGCGTTTCTGGCTGTGAATGTTTAAACCATTAAGTTATCTGTTAATGCAAATTCCTTTTTGCATAAGCAATTATCAAATCTAACAGAGCCAGTATAGTATGTCTGCACACCTCTAACTAGTTCTCTTTTAATCATTTGCCAGACTAGTTCCATGCCTCCACAGTAATCAGACCTTACTGTTGTGGTCTGCGTAAAGCCAGACTTCAGAGAGTCAGCATCTATAATCTTTACATAAAAAACAGGCACAGTGCAACTGAGTAGGATGTTTTTACACAAAGATGTGTTTATACTAATTTTTTTAACCAACACAGAAGATGCTGTGTGCAGCATTCACGAGAAAAAAAAAACACCAACCCAAAAACGCCTAAGCAACACTACAGATCAAGTTTGTTTCCTGCATCTTAAAAAGGCTCCAAAATGTGCTTAAAACCACTAGAAGTTTTTCAAGTGAAATTTGAATAAGTTGACTGGAATTGTGCTGTCAAATTCAAAACCCATTTAAACACAGCAAGAAATCTTTAAAAAAATTATCCCAGAAACAGCCTTGAAGTACAAGTTTCTTTCCTTGTTACGTGTTTGCTAAATCCAAGTGCCTTGGTTTGACACTTTGTTCTCCTAAAATACTCTCAAATAAAAGCTACTAAAAAAAAATCTTGTTCAATTCACAACTTTTAGGATGGAGCTGGCCCCTGTATTCTGAAGCCACTATTGCATTTATCATCCTGAAATAATCTTTTTAACAGAGCTTGTCAGGGCAACTCACTCCAACGTTTTCAAAACCCTTCATTTTTCACATGAAGTTCAACATCAAAGTCTTTTTTCCCCCTCCATACGTTTCATAATAATCAAGATACACTATGTACTTCTTAGACTATGTGAAGTTTTGGTAGGTAGGTCACTCACTGAGGTAATCACTAATAAAGCTTTTTGTTTTGGAAAAAGCTCATATTCTTTTGTTATCTCCTTATTTGCTCATGGTTAACCAGCTCCTCCCCTTGCCCCTCTACTTGAGAAGCAAACCCAAATACAACTTCCACAGGAAGCCTGCAGAAGACACTACTGAGCCTACTTCAAGGACAAACACCTGCCATTTCCTACTTCACAGTGATTTTAAGTCTCAGTATGACCTCTGGCAATGCATATGTCACATCTACAATTCACCCATGATGCTTTCATCAAAACACATACTTTCCAATTACAGAAAATCATCACAGAAGGACCATTATGAATGCATAAGAGAAAAACACAGTGGTCAAAACAAGATTTCCAACTTCCATGTAACATTTTACTATCTCATCCTTCCCTAACCCTCCCTCATCCACACTCCCTTGAGTTTTATAAAGCCTGGTGCCTTACATCTCACATAAGTGATTTCAGTGGCTATGACACCAAGACAAATAAAGCATCAAATGAACACAACTGCCAAACAGGAGAGAGTAACATGTTTGCAAGCTTAGAAATATAAACTTTTACCTCAGTTGTAATGCTACTGGTGTAAGCAAAAATCTTTGGTTAGCAAAGCAGAAATACTGCATGGACTGCAACTTCATCAACAAATTTCAGAATGTCATTTCAGTGAGGCATGCACCGTTAAAAGAGAGCCCAGGTTTCTAAATTTCAAGCCAACTAGACTTCAAAATAAGTTCACTTTCATAGTTTAGAACCAGAACAAACCATGTCCAACTACATGTTCAAATTTTTATAAAAATTAAGGTTTAACATTTATTTTACATCTACTAGCTTTCCACATCCATGTGGGGACAAGGAATCAGAATGTACATAACTATAAGCAGTGCAAAAGTGGTGCCAGTGCGAAGTCACAGATGCACAATAAGGTGATAGTACAGGACTAGAGAAAACGAAGCTATGGATCTTAAGAATGGAGACAAAAAATAACCAAACAAAGAAAAATATGAAGGAAGAGGGCAGGAAAGAGGAGAGCCAGATGTTTAATAATGCCCTTGTTGCTGCAAAGATAAACTAATGGCACAAGACAATGTTTCTTGTAGAACAAAAATCCAATAGCAATGAGTCTTTATTCACGTTTAGTCACCTGACATGAAGAAAGTGTCTGTTGCATTAAAATAGTCATCAATGTAAATGGCAGCATGGCTGAACAAGTCCTTTTCAATGGTAACGAACATCCCACATAGTAAAGTCACTTCAACACAGCCTCATGACAATTCCCACATCAAAACAGTACTTTATTTTATATTTTTTTGCCTCATCATTACTCCCACATTAAGATCTTTCAGCTGTCAAGTGTACAAGGTGAAGAAAAAGGTTCTCAGTCAGCAAACACAGGTGCATCAGGAAGTATCTCCACAATACACCACTTCAGATCTGCTGGGTCCCAAGTCCATCCTTGAACGCTGGGCTCCCAACACCAAGTGTAGCACACTACTAAGGCTACACTACTATGTTAGCTTATTAATTCTGCATACATCAGGCCGATCAATGTGTCAACCTGCAACAGACTGAGCATTATAACTGAAAACGGCAAAAGATTTACTCTACTGAACTTTACATCATTATTTGATGTTAAACAATGAGGCAAATCCCAACAGTATATACAAAAACCAGCTTTGCTTTTACAAAAGATTTTGTTTCCCATATTGATTAATCCAGGCAGCTAACTCATTGGTTTATGCAACTTTATTGAAGAAAATAAATCAATTACTAGTAGAGCTATTAGTTGATCGCTCATCCATTGACAACTTGCATCATTTATTCAGTGCTTATATTAAACAGTGTTCTGGAAGACAGATTAACTAATAGCTCCAAGCCTCCTAACAAAATTTAAATGAATTACAAAAATGTTCTTAGACCCTATTTTTGGAATACAAGGGATGTTTGACTTCCAATTTCCATTCTCTGTAAAACAAGAACTGGTCATTCCTTTATTGACATGCATAAGATACATCACATTTTCTGTTCTGCTGATGCTATAGATTCAGTACCAATTCTCCAGACACATCAGTTATGAGCAAAAGTATATAATAAAACCTCAGTTCTCTAACACTGGAAGGTTTGGAACAAGATGGATGTTGCTACAGCAATGTTACTTCTTTGATGGGAGAAAAATGAACATCCATCTCCCCTCCCCCCTTCAGGTGATATCTTCAGTATCTGTTAGAGCAGTGAGGAATGTTTGTTTTTAATCTCATAACCAAGTTAGAATGAAGACATTGGCCACATAATACACATGCTCCATTAAAAAAAATTCTGTATCTTGGGCAATTGTTCTTGTGTAACTACTTTACAGATTCTAAAAGCAGTTATTGTCCAAAGCTGGAAGAACTAAAGTCTTCTCAGATGAGCATGTGCATGAATGGAAGGAGGTAAACAAAAAAATAAAAAAGATGAGGTCTGATAGGGGAGCAGCCGGATAAGAAAATCAAAAAAGGAACAGTAATTTAAAGTTTATTCCAGCTATAATGCAGGTTATTCTGACTTTAAGGTAGCATCACATGGCATACTTCTGAGTCCATTCCCGAGATATTCTGTTGTACCTGCACAAACAAAAACGGGAACTGAATTAGCGTCAGCATGAATTTCCTAAACAGTTCATGATTGCATATCACTTTATACCCATCTCCCCATTCCCTTCACACTAAGAGAAGCCTCTTTCTATACTAAGATATACTTGGAACTGAAAAAAATGGAAAATCCCTCCCTGAACTAACTAGGACATCCTCTGATTTACATGAAACACTTTAAATTCAAGACAAGCCCATCTGCTAGAAGTCTGTTGTGAAAAACTACTGAAGGGGAAGGAATAGAGGCTACCTGGGGCAGGCGAGGCAAGGACAGCATTTTGTTTAAATATTGTCCTTAGATAAAGATTACAGAGTATCACATGCCATAAGTAAAGATTACTTGGTTAATAATGTCACTGGATACAGAATGTCAAATTTTTCATTTTAGAGTGTAACAACACTATGCGTTTCTTCACACTTAATATTCTCTTTCCACAAGAGTATATTGCTCAGACAATTTTAAAAAGGACATCAAAAAAATATTTAACTATGCTACTTCCACAGGAATTGAGCTCACAATTAGTTTATACTTAACTCCATGCTTGTCAGTAAGAAGTTAATTTTCAACTATACAAGCAGAACATAATCCCCATACGTTTTCCTAGTTTGTATGTGGAAGACACGCTGCTGAAGAATAGAAAATTAAAAGTTTAGATTGTCTAAATTCACTCATGCCTATGCAAGAGGTCTTGCTACAGGGCATCACTTTAAATGACATTGACAAACTCTGGACGAATACTTATCAGAACAGGTTGATAAGCCGGCTCAAAACTTGGTAAATATTTCATACTACCTTTTTTTCTTTTCTCTTTTTGGCCATGCAAGAGCAGTATCTGTGAGAAACAGTGACTAGCCAATACATTTCACACTAACCACAGATCAAGCTGTTAAATATCCAAATTCAGTAACTGGTGCATCAATTATCTGTTAGTTAATCCAGTGCCTTAGAGCATGCAGCACCCAAGTGCTGACAAGTTTCCATTTTGTTAAATGCACTATAATGTGCAGATAGTCTTACCCTACAGCATAGCGTATTTCTCTGTCCACTCTCTTGCTAACCTATTGTACCTAATTGGATAAGTATATTCAGCATTAATATTTTATATAAAATAACCAAACAGTCTACTTCATATAATTCTATCTGTGGGAAATGTTAAAAACACAAAGAAAAAGTTGTTTTAACACATATATGAAAAAAGTTATGAAGCCTTTACCCAAGGGGAGCACCAAAATGAGGCATCAAACTGCTACCAAAAGAAAGCAACAAAATAACAAAGCTATCTTTTCCTCAGTACCAAGATCAAACTATAGTTTATTTATGCATGGTAATTAAAAAAAACTGGGCAATGCATATTTTGACATACTGCCACAGATGTGAGAAAACCCACAACTTCAAAGATACTAAGCCCTGTTGGTTTTAAATTATGCACTACCAAGAATAGGTACTTTTTTAACACACAAGTTCTCTCCATCCCAGATTTTCACAAAAGGCTCACTCAACACAATTGCTGTGTGACAATGCACTCTTTCAGTCTTACACAACTCTGTACCTCTGTACTTACTTGTCTCTGTCTGTTTTATAGATACGTGCAATCTCTGGCACTAGTGGGTCATCTGGATTTGGATCACATAACAGTGAACAAATGGATAAGAGAACTGTAACAAAAGAAGAAAAAAAAGAAAACAAAAAAAAAGAAGAACGAACTGAATTCTCAGGAGCAAAACAGGAGTAGTAACAATCTCAGAAACCATGGAGCACAGATCTCTGCATTAGCATAACGTCAGCACAGGACAGAACCTAATAAGCCTATTCCTTATACATGGCCAAAATTTGTAACCCACTCTAAATAAAAAGCCCAGAATGACTAAAAGTTCATGAGAACTATTTGTTTCATATTTCCCAATACTTACAGCCATCACTAAGCACATGAGAACAGCACTGCTGTCCACTGCACTATGATGCAATGTAGCAGCCAACAAAAGCATGTTATTATGTATTCTGATGACCAGCACATTCCATGGTTTTAGTCACTAAACCCAGAACTTCTTTAAATTATTATTTATTTTCAAATCAGACTGAATTCTTTCCCTGTTTTATGTAAGGTAGCAATACTCTGGTCTGCACTGATAAAACTACACATACATTGTAAAGTAAAGGAGTAACACTGTTGCAGGCAAATATGACAACTTTATCCTCTACTCTCACAGCAGCTTTGGAAGAAAAACAATAATGACAGCATTAAAATGTAGGGAATCCACATTCAAATCATAAACTGACTCCTTGGAAAGAGAGGATTTACAAGTTCTATAGACAAAGGAGCACTCTGATGGATCTTTTGAAGCCACAGCAACCAGTGGCTTTGAGGCAAACCAAAATTTGATCATAGTGAAAATTTGAGTATTAACTGTTATTTACTATAGTAAAATGAGGAAAGCTACAAAGCTCCAATTGCAGCACATCAATTTATCCTGAAGTAGAATCAGTAAGCTTAGTTCATGATGTAATACAATACCAGTGCATAGTGGCAGAAAGCAACACGCATCAGTAACAGATTTTTTACTCATCTACCACAGAGATATGCCAATATAACCCTGCATGTAATTCTACACTCATCTGGTCAAAAAATATGCAGATTTCATTACTAAAATGACTTTAAATTAATACGCAAGTGTGCATCTACATGGATAGCTGCAAACAGTTTCCCAGCCTTAGCTCAAATACACCACCACAAGCCTTTTTCAATCTAAACACTGACAGATTTCCTCTGGGACCAAGCTAGTAAGCTCCGCTAAGAATAATGAAGCAAGGAAGTGGCCAGAGAAGGCCTCAAACAGTCATGTAGCAGAAGGTGTTAGAAAAAACCCCAAATATCCATGAAAAACACTGTAAGACATCATTATCAAATTGGCAAAACAGTCTAGAACAAGTAAGGGAAAACAAGAGATGGGCAAGAACTCAAACCTGTCCAAGCTAAAAGCACAATATTCAATGCAAGATGGAAACATTTCTCCTTCATGAAAATTACCTTTAGAAATAGTTAAAGCAGGAGACCACTGTGATCTTAGAATATCAAGACAAATGCTGCCATTACTGTTAATATTTGGATGATAGATTCTTGTTGTGAATGCAACCTGCAACACAAAAAAAAAAAAAAAAAAAAAAAAAAGGAAAAAAATGAAGAGTGTGTTTTGGTTTATGATGACAATGACATCCCCCTTTCTTCTTAGTCAAGCCATTAGTCATTGTTCAACTCAATTTACTCTAAAACAAAAGGATTAAGCAGTTAAACTGCACCAAATTCATGGAAATGCACCCAAGCCACAACCTCTCACTAGTTCAAATCACCAGGCACTATTTAAAACACAGCCTCATACTTGCCCTTTCTCTGTTTGAATCACAGGTGCCTGCATCATGATGAAGACAACTCAACAGAAGTGTCTGAACCACAGTAACACTACTACCACAGAGCTAAACAACTTCAAACACTGCAGTCACTCCAAGCATGTGCTTTCATATTGACTGAAAACTGGAAGACAGTGCTAGTGTTTGATAAAGCTAAGTATATTTCACAATTACTGCCAAATTCTAACAAATACCATCTTCACTGATTTTAGGCACTCAGCAAGTTCATCCCTATCCATAGCGTCACATTCCTACAGACCAACCCAAACAGCTACACGGTAATACTTGACAGTTCCTTCATCAGTAATTCTATTATAGTAACATAAAGCTAATGAGTTTTGTACCAAATAAGAAAAAACACAGACATAAAACCAAACACCATTCCAAGACATTCAGAATTCACACATACAAATTTGCTCCTAAAATACATGCCCATTCTTGTGGAAGCCAGAGAGAAGGACCTAGCCATCAAATGTACTGCAGGAATGCATGAAAAGTGAGAACTTGACAATATTACAACACAGATGTGACAATTTCTGTCCTGTACTTGGTTCTTTAAAGAATGATAGCTTCACAAATGAGAAAAGCAGTACTTACCTTAGGTGGTTTGAAAGGGTAGTCTGTAGGAAAGTGAATTGTCAAGAAGAATACACCACCCTGATATGGACTGTCATTCTGTCAAAGCAAACAAATAATTCTCCTATTACCATCTTTACAACTAAATATCACTAAAGATGTTATTTACAAATAAATTAAAGGATACAAAATCTGTTTAAAAACCTGACCTCTCTCTCATATCCACCCAGACAATTAAAATCAATTACTACTTCCTAAGGTAAACAATACAGAACACATACAGGTCACTTTCCGTATGGACTTCTCTGAGCTAATTCTTCACAGAAAACAGCTTCTGACAATTCACTCGGGACAACTTGGGATTAGCATTCAAATGCCTCTGGGAAGTATGTTAAGAGAGTGGGGTCCTGTCAAGTTCAAAAACCTCAAGCTCTGTGTTGCGGCCATCCAGTTTTCAGCGGCCATGGACAGCCCTAAAGGCCTCCTGTTCCCTCCTAAGTTCTGTCCTTGGCTCAGGCAGTGCTCAGTCTCATAGAAAACCTATGAATGAATACACAGCTAACTCTGTCTCTTGCAAAACAAAAAAACAAAAACCGAAACCTAAGGAAAAAGCTACCCTACCAGCACCATCAATTAAAAAAATAAATCAAGATTAAATTCTTCCTCATTTTCTGCATTTAGAAATTCACTGTAATCAAGTATGTTTGAGTATTTATTCCCTGCTCCAAGAAAACAATTATGGGGTAATTCATTCAGGCATTAACTATAAGCAGTAAAAGCAACATGTGGAAGTAAAAAAGTTGAAAATAAGCAGAGAATAAATGGAATGGCTAAATAGGAATTTTGTGAGTTACTAGTTACAAAAAGGAGTATGTAAGAACTTTTACTTGAAACTACAACTAAATTTCTGAAATAAAGTCAACAATTCCATTGTTTAACCTGAAGACTATAATGCTTTTAATTCTGGATTCAGGACTAGGGAAAATGAATTTGAGATACACAGACTACACTTCTGAATTACTCACAAACTGAATTTTCATATTAATTGCAAGAATATTTCACCAATGTAAGAAAATAACTACATCTTAGTTAAATACCAGAAAATGGAATTCTGCAACACAAGACAAGGTACTCAAACCTGAAAACACATATGGCCTACCTCATTTCTGCTGAAAACCTAATAATCAAGATGCAACCTCTTGTATTTGGTCAATAAATACTATGTGAGGCCTTAAGGAACTGGAAAGCAACCCTTTTACTGGGCATTTTCCAGAAATACATTTTAGCAATTACAGAACCCCCTCTTAGAATGTGTTAAGCCAATGGAAGCTCTCCTACATGTAAGAAAAATCACAGCCTGTGTAATACCCTGCGCTGTAGAGGTGGAAGGCCAGAAGACTGCAACATCACAGGAGCACTAGAACTACTAATACCACACTTCTGTCAGGATACTGCCCAACCTTGAAACAGGAACACAGACCTTTTAACACCACAAAAAGCATATGGATAAAAAGGAGCTGTACATTATTAAACCAGAAGGAGAAGCTAAAAATAATAATGCCAATTTAAAATCAACTGATGTTTAATACCCTATGTCCACACAGACACCAGCAACATAAAATCATACTCAGTATAGTGCAGAACATTCCTTGCTATTTAAGCATGAATATAGGCAGTAAACATCTTTCTCTTTTTGAAGCATCTAGTTGCAATCAATGAGGACCATGGACTTTGGAATGGAGTCAGGTGAACCTCTCACAAGCACATTTTCCATAGTCATTTCCTAATACACACTTGTAACTGTATTTAAGTCAGGGCAATTCAGCATCACTAATATTTAATTCCTACTTTGTGGCCTCACCAGAAGCATCATGTTGTGTCTGCATGTCTACTGGCATTCAATACTTCTATTCTCAAATTACAGAAGGTTTTGTTTTCTAAATACAGATAACCAGCCTTGAGAACTCCAGATGTCAAGTGTTTGCAGATTATGGTTTCAGCAAGGCAAACATTTGCTTGCTTTACTCTAACAAGAAAAAAGTCACATTCAGGTTTCAGATGCTTGTTGAACATTTAAGAGACTTTTTTCCTCCAGTCATAACTGGAACATCACATTTCAGTGACTTTTCCCCTTCTAATCCTAAAAGCATCTGAGATCTCAGTACACGACACCAGATTAAATAAGGCTTGCCCGTTCTGTTGTAAGGTCCATACAAAGGCATCCCAACTAATTCCTGATACTAGGACCAGCTCTAGTACAAAGTTCATGCTAGATGCAAATTTTAGAAAAATTTAAATGCTAACGAAGTTTCTAGATATTGATAATGCCTCACATTGCTTTAGAGATCATTTCAGCTGAAAGAAATGTCCTCATAAAACATTCCAGCAGTAATTATCATCAGTCTGATTCCCCGCCCCCCCCGCTTCATTACCTGTTCGGAATACCTCTGGAACTAAAAGCAAAACAGAAAACCCCAGTTTCCTCCTGAACGAGAACTACTAGTTAAATATTACATCACAAGAATTAGAATACTTACAGGTCCCATAATTGTGGCTTGCCAATGAAACACTACAAAAGAAAAACTCCGCATTATTATCTATGCATGATATGTTTTGAGTTAGCAGAGCAAAACACAGAACTTAAGGTTACTTACTGTCATCTCCAACAGGAGCTGGAGGATCTCGGGCTAAGTCACTAAGTTCCTTTAGAAAAAAAGAATGAACACACTGTTCAGAGAAGGAATGCTAATGAACTCAGTCATTTGCACTTCATATCCAGCAAAAACCCTTAACAGTTCTCCCATAATCAAGCACAGAAGAATGCACAATAACTGCTATTAGAACAACTAGATCAGTTTCAAAATTGCCTGTATAAAAGAGAACAACCACCAAAACCAGCTATGAAGGCAAACAGCTACAATGACTATGCTTTTCCAAATTAGTATCACTACTGTGAAGACACTCCTGCTGAGGAAGGGACAGAAGGAGAGCAGGACACAGAACCTGAAGTAGGCAAAGTATAACCACTTTCTGATAAAAGATTTTCAAGGATTCTGTCTTAGCTAGAGAGGTGGGAAGAGAGAAAGCAGTTGATGAGTCTTTATGAAACAGAAAGCACTGTGTATGTAATATCTGATACTAAAATTTAGAACAGAAAGCAAATAAAAAAACCTACACAACATAAATTCAGTTTCATTCGCCCCACTACCTCCAGGAGGGATGTATCTTGCATACAATAAAGTAGACAGGAAAATGAAAAAGGCTGACAAGTGTTGGAATCAGGCAAAATACCTGTATTTTTTATTTTAAACTACACATTTAGGACAACTACGCCTTTACAATTCTGAATAACTGAGCTGCAGAAACAGTTCCCTCCCCATTACAGAGGGCACAAAACCAGAAACTTCAGATGGAAGATAGACTGCTGTGATGAATCAAAGGAGCTCAGCATTAACTTGTTTAAATGCTCTACAAGTTACTTGTTTGGACAGTGGCTTTTTAAATTATATTTATACTTTCAGTTGGAAGTATGAAACAGGTATCTTCCCTCTTCCCTGCTCTCTTTGAATCTAAAAATGGCTTCAGGAGTTTCTATAAATCTGCACTTGTCAAGGCATCTCGAAGTCATGAGAAAAAAGGGAAAACCTTCAGTCCCTCTCCCATATATAAAGCTGCACACAAGTTATTTTCCTATAGGTCTACACAAGTAATTAAAACAAGAACTTTCCTTTACTTTGTCAGACATTCAATAAACCCAGGCATATCTATTACACTGGAAGCACACACACATTTGGACCAGACAGCTGTTTTGCCTGGAAAGATCCTAATGTACATCCTTTAAGTTTCACGAATTCTGCACTTGCTATAAATCTAGTACGTGTAAGCCAACATAAAATGAGGGGTGGGGGGGAATATTAATAAAATTAAGTTCCCTGTAATGTAAGATAACCTCGCTCTTTGTAAGACAACAACTCCTGCAAACTCAGAGAGAATAACACTACTTCAACATGCAGATGCCCATATACTCCAAGAAACCCTACTCCTAAAAACAAAAAAACCCCAACCAAATAAACAATAGAAAATCCAAATCAACCAAACAAAAACCATCAAGAAAATGTAGTCCTGGATTCCCCCTCTCCATATCTCAACTCTGAGGAACTTTCCAATTAACCAGATTTCAGTTTTGCACTGGAATCAGACTGTTACGTAAAACGGAATTTTATCAGTTTTGATAAGCAACGGCACAATGAAGTTAATATTACGGTTCATTTCACTGCTGCTGTTATTTGGAAGACTGGGCAACAGCTCTTTCCAAATGAACACAGTAAATCCATTTATAGTATATTTCTCTACACTCCCCAGTTATTACTGAGGGTCCCTGTGACAGACTTATTTCTGTTATAAAATATCACTTACTAGCTCCATATGTTGTTCAGCACCCTCCAGAAGAGATTGCTATGTCAGATTTACATTATCATGCAAAGACAAACAAGAAATGTAAAATAACCTTCAGACAGAAAGCTCTTTTAACTTTCAGGGTGATTTGGGGGAATTTTGAGGGGTACGTGCTTTCATTCCCCCACATTTAAGAAATGCAGGAAATTTTGTTAATCAATCAGGCTTATTTTTCATCTAAATGTATTATCCAGTTCTAAGAATGAGCAATCATTTCCAAAAACTAAGAGGAAAAAAAAGGTATTTTGTCCCTTAGAATAAAGCGTACCAATAGAATAAGCAGAAAGACACAAATGTTACTATTTTAATGTAGCTGTGTAGTTATTACTGCATTATTCGATTTAATCAGGCAAGAAGATCAGATCCTAGTTTTTTAAGAACTATCACAGGAACTAAGAAGTATGAAAAGGCTCTTCATGCAGTTTACGAAAATTACAAAAACTACTAGCATTAAGACAAGAAAAGATCAGCATAAAGCAGACGGTTAGAGGTATGTGCATTAGACTAGAGAGCTCTTCAAAAGGTACTACTGTCGTCAGAGAAACAAGAAATCAGTACTCGACAAAGTATTTTAACTCAGCAGAAAAATTACAGAAT